ATATAATTTCTATAGTATTAAGCAATTTTTGGAACACAGACCTTAGTTTTTCCTATTTGTAAGATTTTATAGTGTTTGACTAGACACTTACAAGTTTGCATGCTTTAATTGTAAGCAAAACATGCTGGACTTTACATTTATTTTAACAACTTTGTATACCGTGTTTTTCGCAAATAAATAAATTATTATTTCGGTCAATTATTATTATTTCGATATAATTATATTATAAACGTTCTTTTATTATTATTTTTTTGAGGGGTTGGCGTATCCATGTGGATAAAAACCCCAAATAAATAAATAGAAAAAAAAAATTGTGACAACCCGGTAAACGAGCAAACAAATTACCTGATGGTAAGCAATCGGCGTCGCCCATAGACACCCGAAACACCAGAGGCGTTACAAGTGCGTTACCGGCCTTTTGGAGATGAAGAATTTAAGGATTGTTGGGGGATTCAGGGATTGGGATGGTTAGGGAGGGGTTGATTGGGCCTCCGGCAACCTCACTCACACAATGAATCTCACGTCGGTATTCTAGAGGCTGTGGTACCACTCCGGTCGAGCCGGCCCATTCGTGCCAAAGCATGGCTCTCCCTCACTTACGGTCTTTTGGGAAAACATTTTCATTTAATGTAAGACGGCTATTTACGATCGAAATATTCTTAGTTTAATAATGGTTGTGTTCTGAAGTGGTGATCAAATAAATATGTGAAGATCATAGAGTTAATGAAAAAAATTAAAGTGTTCTTTTTTGTGTTTTTTTTTGCATACAACAATTTTCACGTTGACCTCTTTTGTTGGTTATTCTACGTAGTGGAGAGTTTTTAGTACCTAATACATTCAGTATCAATTCCAGGTTTTATATTTTATTTAATTACTTATTTACTGAGAATTTTAAATCATTCTGCTCTAATATTTATAATACCAGATATATATACCAGACCATTGATATAATAAATTGTATTTTATCTAAACAAAATAGAATTATAACAATAGAAAAAAAAAACTAATTCAATAAATTCAAAATTCGAAAACCTGCAATCGACAAAAGCCAGTTAACCAACAAAGCTTCTAGGTATTCACAAATAAAAAGAAAAAAATAAAATAAAATGTATGAATAATACAATGGTCATTATATTTTCCTAAATAATGTCAAATATCCTGTCTAGTAGTTGCAAATGTAGGTGCAACAAAGCCTTTTAAATTCTATAGCTCGTGTAGCTTTTCTGGTTCAATATTCCGCTCTGTTGCTCTCACTTTGCTACAAACCGGCCTAAATTACGACCAACAGATGCAACGGCCATGTTGTATCGAGAGTCTGCAATAGTAGGATGGTTGGCTAAATTAAGTAGTTAAACGGTTCGTATAGTGTATATACATAATATTTTTTTTATGGCATTAGCCGGTAAACGAGCAGACGGATCACCTGATGGTAAGCAATCGGCGTCGCCCATGGACACCTGGAACACCAGAGGCGTTACAAGTGCATTACCGGCTTTTAGGGATTAGGAGTTTGAGGATCTTTGGGGATTCAGGAATTTAGGAGGTTGGGGAAGGGGAGGGTAATTGGGCCTCCGGTAACCTCACTTACACGACGAAACACAACGAAAGCGTTGCTTCACGTTTGTTTTCTGTAAGGCCGTGGTATCACTCCGGTCGAGCCGGCCCATTCGTGCCGAAAAATGGCTCTCCCACACTTAATATTTTGCATTGTTGCATGCACATATTTATTACTTAATAATGTAATTAATATCTGTATATTTTGGAGAAAAGGGTGATCCTCTGTGCAGGCGAGGTGACCATGCCCGGCGGGCTTTCTGCCCAACAGTTGAACGTTGGGATTTTCTATCTATGTCAATCTGCACGTAGGCGTAAGTAAACTTCTCATGTGCGATGCAGGATTTGTGTCGTCATACAATGATTTATGTCGTAGTCATTTGTATTATGTGCTGCCACAACATAATCAAAGACAGATCGTGACGGTTCATTGCTGGATTATTGGATTAATCTACATTAAAGAGTTAGCCATAATTTTCACGTATGTGTGCTACAGATTGCAGTTTCAAATGTTTAAACTTATCAGAGAGTGCTCGATTCCTAATGTTTAGTTTTTTAAACTGTCAAACACCGACTGGTCACCGGTGACCGCAACTTATTGTTCTTTAATTGTGTCTATAATGACGGTACTTAACGAGTTAAGGCGTGTCAGACAAATTACTTTTAATTATTACAAACTAGCTCCTGCAAGTGGCTTTGCCGGCATTTTTATAGGATAAAAAGTAGCTTGTGTAGACCATAATCTACCTTTGTTTTAATTTTTATTCCGATTCCTTCAGCGGTATTGACGTGAAGGAGTAACAAACAAACAAACAAACAAACAAACATACAAACTTTCAGATTTATCTATATATAAATCTTATCTATCTAAGTATATCTACCTTATATATACATATAATAAAATCGTAAAAGGGTCAAAACTGTACATTGAAAATTTTTTAAAAGAATACTTTGAGGCGTAACCTACAATCGATAACGAAACCAAAACTATAGTTTTTAGAATTTTTGTCTGTTTGTCTGTATGCATGTCCGGGCTAAACTCAAAAAGTACTGCTTAGATTTACTTGAAATTTTGCATGAATATTACAAACAGGCCAATCCAACATATAGGCTACATATTATCACGCTATCACCTACGGGAGAGGAGCTGTGAAGAATTATCCAAAGTCACCACGAAGTTGCACCTCATTATGGCTAATTCTACCTTCACGTTATGATTCATGTTTCTAAGGAACCTGAGGATTGAACTCAGAACTTTGTGGCAGTCGTTTATAGTCACCTCACCTGTTAAACAATCCGTTGTTAGAGCAGAATTAAAAACTGTACCACAAATCCAAAAAAAAAACACAAAGCAAACGACAATCTAACTTTCCATTTTTTCATTCATCATTTTTATTACCAAAGCCAACCAAAGCCATTCATCGACAAGGAAAAAGACTTCAGCATTTGCTCAATGACTTCACTCATTCGTCTTTTAAGGAAATCAACGGTGAAATACATTTTCCGCTGAATATCCGAGTAATGTTGCAAACGTAGTACAAAATTCTTACTACTTTATTTATACCAAGTTAAGAGGATCAGGAAACATAAAATAATGTAGGAGATATAATAAATCTAGCGTAACGGTGGTAAGGGTGCGGATATTGTGAGGAGCGAGGCGTTTTTGTTAGCGGAGCGATGAGCGGAAAAAGGATACAGATTTGGATTTCTGGAAAAGTTTA